CAGACCGGAGCTACCAGACTAGAGTCTAGCCATAGCACCAGTGCGAGAATATTGCGCCTGGTGCGCAGGTCGCTGGGCGCGAGAAACAGAAAATTTCGTTGCTTGCTCGCTCGCTCGCCGAGCGCGAGAAGCGAGGCGAGAAGGGTTGCGGCCGTGCGGCGCGGGACAAATATTGGAGCGAAACAATAAAGATCATCATTGGTAAAAGAATACCCAATACCCTTAATTGGCGGCGAATCATGTATCACGGGAAGGAGATTTGTTGGTTGCCATTCGAACTGTTTCCAGAATATGTACTCATTTATCGTTTGACCTCCAAGTCTAGCGTTTCACACCTTAAAAATGCAATCTCAACACTTAGTGGCATACAACCATTATAATAATGGGTTTGGTAAGGGGAACACTTTGTATATCAATACATGAATAATAACATCAATTTCATAATTTGATACGATTCTGTATATTCTCAGAATATTCGAAAAGAATATTCTTGTGTATCTATGTCAAATTGAATGTTCATAGAATATTCGTTGCAGGATGAAAATATTTCATGATCATTTTAAGGACATTATGTTAGAATATTCTGAAATAAGAATATTTGAACATTGTCATTTTAGAATATTCCATTTCAGAAGCTCATTGGAACATATTTTCAGAATATCATCAGTATATTCGCAAAGTATTCCATGAATGTTCACAATATTCTGAAAATATTATTTAATGAACATTCTGGAATATTATATCCCAGGAGCTTCTAGAAATGTACTTTCATGTAATACTATCAGAATATTCGCATGGAACATTCCATAAATATTCGCAACATACTGAGAACTTTCTATGCATATTCTTCAGAATATTATTCTAGAAGATGACATTTTCGCAGCTTGTAAGAATATTCTGAGAATATTCGTGCTATCTGGGGATATATATATATGTAATAATGAACAGTACAGTGTTAATTCAATTTGAATAAATTGATTTGAGGTGTGTCACGATTCTAGGGATCACCCTGTAACATGGTACCAACTAGGAAAGCAGTTGTCTAATGTATCATTTCACAACAATGACTTATTTGTTTTTGTTTCGCTGCAATTTCTCGCGCCCAGCGAGTAGCGAGCGACGCGCAATATCATTTCACAATGGCTTATTTTCTTATTTATTTTTGTTTCGCTGCAATTTCTCGCGCCCAGCGACCTGCGCACCAGGCGCAATATTCTCGCACTGGTGCTATGGCTAGACTCTAGTAGCTACCAGAGCCTGTATCATTGGCAAGAGAGTCAACAGCCAGACACCGACCGGAGAAGAAGCACCGCAGTACAACCGAACACCGAAGACCGAGCTGCATAGCAAGCAAGCACTTGGGTGAGAGTACTGAGATATACGATATTATAAATATAAAGTATTGCATTATATATAATTATATTATTAGTTAGTGTTTTCTTGGTAGAATATGTCGAGCTCTCTTACTCTTCAAGAACGGTGACTCACCGACTTGAAGAGTGGAAAGCTGCTTAGCTGAAGTGTACCTTTCTGTGAAAACGGTGACTCATCGAGTCACAGTGGGGTGCATTGAATTCTTCACGAAAACGGTGACTCAACAACATATAATCTCCAAAAGTTCAAAAAAAATTCCAATACCTACGTCCTGTCCCTATCCTCCCTAGGAACGCACGATGTTCTTTGAACATTATAGGGATTCCCTTTCGTGCGCTCCAAGCGATAAAAAAAATAGCGAACCTGTCCCCTGCTGACTCATCAAGGGAGAGGTTACGGCTCACAGTGAATTTCGGGATAACAAAGGTGACTCATCCAGTTATCCATAAATTCATAGAATGCACTATAGTAGTTTGCTTTGCTTGGTGTTGAGCTTTTTACTAGATCTGCTTGCTTTTCTCGCTTGTTCTCACTAGTTTTTGAGCTGGAATGTACTATCTGCTAAGTCGATGCTCACTGCCGGCATCCGATTTTAATTCAACGCGATTTATCTTGAGAGGGTCACTCCGGTTTGATTTTGATAATAACTAGAGCGACGGAACGCGTGGGTTGGGATTTCAAGGGTTTTAACTGACTAGGATGAATTATTGTAAATAGATATGTAAATAAATGTACAAACTTGTTGAGTGATTTGGAATAAATTGAATTGTTAAATCAAAACGTTATTTTATTCAGAGCAGCGTGTAATCCGGGATAAGGGAAGTTAATTGAATTAGTAGTGTCATTGTAACACATAATGAATCATAGAACCCTGGATTACCGAGTCTTCGCTGGAAGCTGCCCGGTGCAAAGTGGACCTACCACTATAATATAGGTGGCGCCCGAGTTATTTCTTTGGATATTTAAACAACGCGAACTGAAGTGCCAAATAACCTATCTCCAGGTAGATATCGTTACAAGTTATCCATTATTTTTCATCTCATCCATTTTTTACCTATGAAGCACACGAAAAACATCCCCATTACTTTTTTCACATATAACATTTTCAATATCACATATTCCCTTTTTTCTAACAATACTCCATGACATCCCAACTCTGATAACTCCAACTTATATTACTAAAATGCGGCGAAACTCCTGGTAAAATCAATAACTTTGCATATCAAATGAATTATTGAATTACCTGTTAATATCAAAATATTCCGATTCAACAGTTCTACATCTGCATTGGCCTAAATCTGTAACCAATTTGATTTGAAAAGGGATTTAATAAAGCAATAATTAACGATATTAGAGAAGTTTATTGACACAATTGAAACCAGTGATATGAAACCTACGTGAACAGATCTTGAATTACAGTTCAACAACAGTTCATCAATATTAGGAGAAAATTATTCAAATCGAATTTTTTCTTATATTGCGCGATAATATTTCGTACATTTTCTCCAGAATAAGGAACCTACCAGTGAACTACCAGATTCGGAAGCAGATTTGAAACAAAATGTTCTCTTCCTAGTACATTATTTTACTCGAGATAAATTCACCGGTATTTTCTGGGGAGTTTCAGCATTGTATTAATTCCAGAATTGAATTTGTTTTCACTATTTGTACCTATCAGAGTTCAAATGAAAGTCAAGGATATCGAAGGTGTGATTGGGAGGCTGTGCTTTTCGTTTCATAGATGGGTTAGACAGTACTGACAGGCCCATTCAGAGAGCATGTGACTTGATGTTTGATAGATTTGATAAAAAACGATTTTTAGTTGATAGCCACTTCGGGTATTCATGAGACATACACGGTGTTTCAAAATATAGTTTCTTTTTTCTTAAAAAAATTATGAGATGCCATTTCAAAACACTTGACTGCTTTAGAGGGAATAAATTTCAGTAAAGACATTTTGTATGACTTCTTCATTATACATATCTCATGTTCCAAGTTAGATAAAAGTATGATGAGAGAGTAGAAGGAATGTTCGGTTTCAAAATGATTGGCTATCGCTCACCAATGTGATAAACTTCCCTGTCATATGTAAAAAAAGCATAATTTCATGATGCAGAAAGGGGTGAGTTCTCAGACTCCCAATTATTCACAAAAGGTAGAAAGTGACCAGGATAACGCCTTCACCATGATAATTGAAAATAATCAAGTGTCTACTTCAAGTATCAATTATCCTAGCGACAAAGACGGCCAAGTTTTGTTGTCTACAATTTTCTGCTATGTTGAAGATTACCATGGACAGCTCATTTTTTCTAGAGCTTTATGAAACTGCCAGGCTCAATCGAATCTCATTACTGAAAAATTATGTAAAAACTTGAATCTCCAACATGCACTTCCGGCTGAGCGATTATAGGATTCAATCACAACGTAACGTATCCCAAAAAAAAAAGTTCAATTCACTTATTCTCTGTTTCAGTAAGTACAACTTCTCGATTTCATGTCTCGTTGTTCCCGTAATAACTAGTGATATCCAATCTTCTCTCTTTAATAGAAGAATGTTGAATATCCTAGATACTATCAACTCATCTGATACAGAGCTAGAGTATTCTCGAGAAGTAGATATGTTATTGATGGGTGCTAGTATATTTTGGGATTTTGAATTGAAGGGTACAATGAAATTTGGAAATAATCTTCCAATACTGATAAACACACAATTTGGCAAGATAGTGATAGGCACCATTTTCATCAATTCGTGACCCCAGAGATGATCAACTGAAAGAGTTTTGAGAGAAGAAACTATAGGTAGAAATTATATTCTATCTCATGATAACACTGTAGGTATGTGAATCTCTTATTACTAAAGATACATTTCGGGATGGAAATGGACGATTTGTGGTGTAATTTTTATTGAAGCATCCTCCAGAACAATTAGGAGTGTAGTGTAGTGATTATTATTATTATATGAACTTTCATTCGAAACCAATCATTAATCTTTAGACTTATATGTTATATACAAATAATTTGGGTGATGTATGTCATATGTTTGTTGTTTAGTCACGGCCTTTCTAGTAGCATGTGATTCCATCTGTCCGTTATAAATTGGGTTTTATCAGTGTTAAAATATTAATAAAGTACTAAAATAAGTTGCACATTTGCACAAGTGAAGTCAACGTAGTGTGCACACAATACAAGTATTAATCAGCATCTTTGAAACTATTACCTTCTTATTATTGATAAGTCGCGTGTTCCGGCAAAAACTTCAAAATATAAACAGTGATAAAAAGTGATAAGCACCTTGATGAGTACCTAGTGGCTGTGTACCAACAAAGCAGTTCACCAGGATTTATAGGGCGGCGGATAAATATAAATCAGGTATGTCTGGAACATGTCAAAAATGTACACTGAAAATAACCACCTCAAAAACAAAGATTTCATACAACCAATGTACAAACATTTTCTCCTGATCATCAAAATAAAATCTTTAAAACATCAACATCAATTGTAGAACAGCCCCTAACAACCAAGCATTTCGAGAAACTATTGTCAGAACTTCAATCAGTACAAGTATCTCAACAGCAACTCCTTAGTTCACAAAAAATAATTATGGATGACTTTCTTCAAAACTTCTAATGTGTAATTCTAAGATCGATACTCATGGTACTAAACTCTCTGAACATGATAATCAATTAGCCGAGTGTCATAATCGGATGGAAAATTTATTACATAGTACCACAAGGATACAAAAATCAGTAACTGGATTTCAACAAAAAGTAGAGCAGCCGATGTCTCTTATGGAATTAAGGACTCCATTAACCGTGAAAAAAAATTTGATAATATTTGGTGTACCTGAGGAAATTGATATGAATGCAGTTGCTGTTATCATCAGTGATTTTACCCAATATTTAGACTCCATCGTTGATGAAGGAGTTCCTCAATATAGTATTTTACATATCCATAGAATAGGAGAGACCATTGATGGTAAAGTAGGGCCTTTGAAAATGTACTTCGATTGTTCCCTAATTCCTAAATTCATTCTGAGACATCAACTCAAACTGAAAGGAAGATGTGGATATGAAAACTTATCTTTCAAAAGCGATAAATCATATTCAGAACGTCCGTATTTAACTGAGCTGAGAAATGAGCTTACTGATAGAACAACCAGAGGAGAAAAGAACTTGAACATAAAGTATGTCAAAGGTACACCAACTATTGTCTCAGTCCCTACGTCAACTGAGAATACTAGCTCCGATCTGAGAGTTGCACCACGCAATTCCTAATTCCCCGAATACTGTGAATCGAGATATAAATATAACTGGTACAGGTTCCATTGAAATACCTAATGAACCAAGTACAAGTTCAAAAAACCTTTGAGCGTCTGTCACATCAACATACGCTCAATTATATCCTGTTTTGATGACTTTCACAACTACATGAAGGAACAAAAATTCAGTATAATAGCTATCACTGAAACAAGGGGCTTTCGATGGCTAACATCCTGAAGTGACCCCAAACATGATATTGTGGTGGTAGGACGCCACGTGGATGAGCAGTTCCCAGTTTTGATAGCAGCAGCTCTCAAATGGTGTCCCCCGTGCCAGTTACTCAACAGTCCACCAGAATGAATATTCAGGATACTCCTCACCAGAGGATTTAGAAGAAAAAAAGGAAAGCGGCTCTTCCTTCAGCCAAACGGCAATGGCTGCCTGGTTGATGAAGGCCAACAAATCTACAAAATAAAAACTCCAAAGCCGGTAGAGAATATAACCCCTTGAAATTACCCAACAATATCTTACCTTCCCGAAGGAATGGCCCAAAGCAAAATGGTGGGGACGATCACTCTCCAAAGGTTGGAAAACCGAAAGAAGAAATTTGATTTCGACATTGTGCAGCTTCACTCTCCGAGACCGAAAAGAGAATGGTGAAACAGGGAATCTGTTCTCACATCCTGTGCAAACGGTTGTTGAAAATTATGATGAAAAAATTTGTAAATGTTGTAATTCAAATGCGAATCTGCGCAATGACGTTGAGATTGACAAGTTGACAATCAACTCTAGGTAGCCAGTCAAACATTCAGGAATATTACACTGTTGCCAGCCCTCGCAAACCTATTCTGACGACAAAATTGCACTGATCTGCAGCGAGAGAACTGATTGTACTGAACAGACTGAAATGAAAAACGCAAAGGAAAACGATGCACCAGTGGATCGTTGGTACTCCGTCAGGGCGTCATCTCGGAACGTACCAAAATAGTTGACACAATTGACATCCTACAATGTACTGTCTACTGTCTGAATTCTAGATCAACAGTGTTCACAATCATTCTGACAGGACTGCCAAATTTACTTTAATAATGGAGAAAATATACGATCAACAACCAACCAGAAACAAAACATATTTTCCACCAGTATGAGGAATTACCCCGTTGTCATTCAGTTATGAAGATGGTTCTTATAATATGGATAAAGCAAAAAGGTAGATATAACAATCAAGAAGGCAAAAATTCTTGTTACAGTTGATCCATTAGTAAAGTCCTCAATATTTTCTTCAACTCTCGATTTCGGCGTTCGACTGGATTTGCTCTTGCATGATAGATAGCAGTGTAGAAAAGATCGATGTTATTATTTTCGGCCATCTTGATATAATAACGGCCAATGAATTGTGGGCCATTATCAGATATAATAACAGCGGGTGTACCATATCGATGGAAAATTTCATTCTCTGAAAATCTAAAAATTTTTTCAGTATCGACTGTTCTATATGATTTTGCTTCTACCCAACTAGTGAAAATGTCTTTGACAACCAGAATATACTGATGACCATTATTTGATGGAGGATATTTAAAAAAAATTTTTGTTCTAAAATTTGTTCTATCCGTCATTCGGTTGCCCCCTTACGAGCAACCCTCAAAAGTCTTCGAAAGTCTTGTGCGAGCAAGGAATGACGGGGGCCTTACCTTTTAACGTGTGATCCCAAACACTTTCTTGGGCCATCAGAAAAATTTCTGCAGTCGACGGGGATCGAACCCACGACCGGCAAGCGAATGCGAATTAGAATAACTCTGTTCGCACGGCTACCTGGCCACCCAATATGGACCTAAGATGTCGACGCTCACTGTCTGCCAAGGACGATCTGGTGTATGTGGTCGAAAAGGGGCATTTTTTTGCTTCCTCGTCTTCACAGCAGAACAGATTTCACAGTTTCTCACATAATCACCCACGGTTTTGTGTAATTTAATCCAATGGTATTTTTGACAGATTCATCGAATTGTCTCGTCTTTTCCTGGATGAGCAGCATCGTCTGTATGATAATGGTGATAGATAACGATAGACATTTTTTCTGGGGGCACCACTAATTTCTTTCCCGTAAGGCACTTCCTCCAAAATACTTCGTCAACAATTATATATTTCTTGAAGAAACGTTTCTCTTTATTGGAAGTTCGACCAGTGATCTCGATACGATGCGATTTTTGTATTTTTCTCTGAAAATCCAAAGAGTTTTTTTGAGCCTCAACTAAGTCATGAAACAGATCGAAATTTGTTGTGATTTGGTTTACAATGAGCGGTGCAGGTGATTCTTGTGAATCAGGAATACAAATTAAATACGTTCTTCGAGATCAAAAGGCAAATCATGTTACTCTGCAGAATTGCGTGATTTGGTAATTCATTATATTTTCCAGGCATATAATGAATTGTGAAAGAGAATTCCTGTAAAAAGAGAGACCATCGAGTTAACTTGGATCGGGTATCTCTATTCTTATGGAGATATACCAGGGGTCTATTATCTGTTCAGAGGGTTTTCTTGAAGATAATGTTTATATCGTTTTATAGACCATATAATTGAAAGGCACTCTCTATCATCAATGTGGTAGTGACATTCAGCCTTTGAAAAAGTGGTGCTGGTATATGATTTTATAAGTTTGGTTTCATTAGGGCCTTCTTGAAAAAGCACACACCCCATACCTTTTCCACTTGCGTCTGTTTGTGAAATAAATCTCTTCCCGAAATCCAGTCGATGTAATACTAAAGGTTTCGCTACAATAGATTTTATTTGATTGAATGCTACATTCTGATCTTCCGTCCACTTAAACCTGACATTTTTATGGAGCAACTTGGTCAAAGAAATTGCTATTTCAGCCATTTTTTGAAACATATTCACGCAACCAATAGCAATAAGTACCTAAAAATGACTGTAATTGTTTCTTTGTTCTTGGTAAAGGATAATTCAGAATGGCCTCAATAGGTTTTGTTTGAGGAGAGTTTGTATCTTGGGTATTATGATGGATAATCAATATTTTCGGATGCAATTTGACACTTTGTAGGTGATGAATGGAGATTATGTAATCTCAAACGTTCAAGCAAGCAAGAGTACTTGGGGCATTTTTCAAATCAGAAGGCATCACATTGAAATGATAAAGTGCACCATCAGGTGTACAAAAAGCCGTGAATTTTTTGGACTCTGGTGAGAGAGGTACTTGCCAATAACAACTTTTTAGATCGAAAACAGTGAAAATTTTTGCATTGCCATTGTATCTAATATTTTAGATAAATTTGAGGGCTCGTCAACAGTGACGTCATTGAGAGCACGATAATCTATGCAGAATCTTGGCTTTGAGCCTGGTTTCTCTACCAAAACTATAGGCAATGAATATTCAGAATTACTAGGTTCTATCACTCCAGTATGTAACATTTCCTTCAGCTGGAAATATAATATTTCTTTATTTCTAGGTGACACCGCATATGGCCGCTGTTGTATAACTCTCTCCTCTTTCTAACGAATGATGTGTTCAGTAGTATTTGTAGTGGACTGTGAATAATTACCTGAGAACAGATCAGAGAACTGCAAAAACAGTGATTTCAGTTCTTTTCCACATTTTTCTGGAAATATCAGGTCAGAAGGTCAGACGGTAAATTTTCATGTAAATGAATACTATTCTGCCAATAAAGAGTTTTCCTTTGAGAGTTAACAACGTATGCGCATCTACGAGGATAATCTAATATCACGTAATGTTCTTCCGAAAATGGCGATCCTAGAATAACCTCTTCGTGAAGCTCCGATATTATCTGAGAAGTAGACTGGAAAGGAAAGCCATCGATATCAAATCTTAACGCACATATACCCGATGAAGTAACAGAAGTTAATCCGACAGATGTTCTAATTATATTGACAGCTTAAGCTTGAATCGATAAGAGCATGTAACATTTTTCCACCTATAACTGAAGTTAGTCGAGGTAAATGTGGACCAGAACGAGTAACATTATTAACAGATTCACGGTTCGAATTATAAATTACTTCAGTGAAGGCGGATAAAAAGAAAACATTTTTATATTTGTACGACGCTTCGGGATCAAGGATAGGGTGTGATACCTCATCTAATCTGGAGCATAAGGGCCTGATTGAGCTATACTTTGCTGGTTGCCGTTGATTCCAGCAGCACTCGTCAAGTTTTCCGAATTTGAGTTATATGGATTCCTCGGACATTCGTTATGAAAATGCATAGCATTACAGTATCAGCAGGAAGAAGGAGGCTGAGAATTATTGTTAGAATTGATGAACTCATTATTCCTTTTGTTCGAGGTTGATGAGTTTGTAGTGGAGTCACCTCTGTACCAATGTGGAACGATCGCTGAACATCTCCTCAATTCTTCTAGATCCTTTTCAACTCTGGTAGCAACTTGTACCAATTCTTTTGTGTTAACGAAACTATTTGGAGATCGTGAGTTGATACGAATTTCAGGGCGAACCTGATTCAGAATAATAAATGCTTTAACTGATTCTGAAATCGAAGGGACTAATCGTTGGAACAGGTTAATTTTTCTTGTTATATACACCTCTGCAGATTCTTTTTCGTGTTGTACCTCCCCATGAAGCTTTGAAGTTATTTGAGCTACGACATGATTGGAATTGTATTTATTCAAAAATCTATCAGCAAAATTTTCGAAACTGACATTGAGGGATCGATATGGTTCAATCCATTTTCGTGCATCGCCCCGTAAACAGTCAATAGCCAATTCGACTTTATGCTGATCTCCTTCAATACCATTTTGGGAAAAATATTCAGTCCATTGGCGCACAAATTTATTTATTTATTTATTTATTTATTTATTTATTTCAACAAACAGGTTTTACCCCAATTACATGTTGTGTGTGTATGAATGGTTGATTGAAATAGTACTTCATTTTCTGCATCAATCACAGTAATGATACTGTTTTTCCAAAAAATACAGTACTAGTCCAAACAACCTGACTAAAATCTAACTAAAATCTAATAATATATACA